TGGGGTACACCACCTCCAAAATTGACAATTTCTTTTATCACAAATGAAATATAATCTCCCTTTAGATGGCTTGTTAGACTTGGTAACCCTTATGACAGCTCTTAGCCCACAATCACATTTCAAAGTCTCATACCTCAAGTCGAAGGTCTCAACACTAGAATAATAGTTATTGGAGGATGACATGCCTCTGCATTAATTAGGAAGAATTGGATCCAAATTCTCTAAAATTGATTAGGAAGTTAATTGTAAATATATATTACACCCAAGAAGTATTGATTGAATAAAATGTTTGTAACATATTGACAATTTGTTTGCCACAATTTCTTTTGACACCATTTCATATATCCCCAATCAAGTCCGTGTCCAAATGATGTATTGCAACTAAAGGTGCATAATAACAGGAAGCAAATAAATTATTTCTTTAAAAAAAACATATCAAAAAGAGGGGAGAATCGAAGCAAATGAATTGTTTCTTTAATTGTATAATAGAAATAGGGAATTCACAATCTACTACATCTTCCAACAAATCAGGCCATTTAGAGCCAAAAAAAATAAGGCTCAAAATAGAACGTATTACTATATTATAAGTGGCAACAACTAACCCTTCATAAGAACTCAACAATTTTTTTTTTTAATGCTAGTAATGTAGTAATGTAGTTGATTTTAAATGAACTAGGTATAATTACTCATCCATAATACACATTACATCATAGCAAACGATTAAAATTTATAGTTTCATCCATGTTTTGTAGCAGCTCTTTCTTTCCTGGGTCATTCCGTAACTGAAGGCAGTACAATTTGTATTCGTTAGGCAAATCTAAAATAAGTTTCATGATAAAGGGCAAGTAGTTAAATATGAAGACTGATTTTTAGTTTCCCAAACACAATTAAGCACTCACATTCAAAATTCACTATAATCTTAAATCGGAAAAGCAATTATTAATATTTAATTTGGTATTGTTCAGCAGCACAATTCCATGAGATCTATATTTCAAAGGCTTACTTGACACCCAGACACTAGTCACTTTGCAACCCAACCTAATTCCAAGGTAACACTACTTTGCACATGGAAGAGATCACCCAAAATCAGAGAGAGAAAGGAAAAAGAGAGAGGGAGAGAGAGATAGAGGGAGAGAGACAAAAAAATTTTAAGGATGCAGAAACCCTACAATTTGTTTTTCTTGTAATCGGATGCACATTAACGAAGCTCATGAAATGAATATAACTTTGAACTCAAATTTCACCTACCCCAATACCAAATTTATGCATTTAAAATTGAAAAACATCTAAGGATTAAATAAATAAATAACAGATCATAGTAAAAAGGGGATTTTCAACCCTAATCAGAGAGTGAAGAAAAGAGAGAGGCGTTTTCAACCCTAATCACAAAGTGAAGAAGAGGGACATTTCACCGTAATTAGAGAGAGAGAGAGGAGAAACCTCACACACAATTGACACACCATTTCACATAACCAAAAAAAAAACCCTAATTGATTTCCATATATATATATATATATATATGTATTTGTATATAACTTCACAGTCATGAAATCTTACATTTTCGGTGCAGATGAACGGAAAACAGGGGGACGACTGTTCTTGGAGAGGTAGACGACTATTCTACAAGCACAATCTGCTGCAATTAGAGAGCTCGACGACTGTTCTTCTCGGTCGCCAGAGAGGAGAGGAGAAGAGGAGCGAAGAGTGTGGGAGGCGAGAGTGTTTAGGGCAAGAGAGATCAAAGGGTATATATAGTGGCAGTTTAGTAAATAATGAAGTTTGGGAGGGGCATTTAAGTCATTTAACCCCCCACACCGACTCCACGCTTAAGTCGAAATGTTTAAGCACCTTCTGACAAGCTTTTCAAAAGAGCTAAAATTTAGTTTCATTTAAGTTATAAGCTGGCTAACTTAAGCTGTGCCAAACACAAGCTTTTAGCTTAAATTAAGCTAAAAGTTAAAATAAGTAGCTTATAAGCGCTACCAAACACCTACATAAGAGGGGGGGAAAATGAAATAAAAAGTTAGCCAATCACAATGCATTGGAGGTGGTGGGGTTTCCCAAAAAGGGGTCCCAACCTTTTTCCTTTAAAATCTAAGTTGACATTCTAAATTATGGGCAATGGGCACCCCAATATAGGGTTGACTGATCCCTGCTGTGGGCTCATTTCCAAATCCTTAGGTGAGCCCTTAACTATTCTTTTATCATTTTGCCAAACCTTAGTAGCCAACAAGATCGAGCCATTTCATGAGGCTAATCTTATTGCTTCACAATACCCTATAAACTAGATTCTGTGTGAATTAGATTATGCTGTTTGGGTCCATGAGACTTACTATGGGTCTCACTTGGATAATTTGAATAGTTCATTTTTTAGATTTTTGAAAAATTATTAATAAGTTCGTACAAAACTTGTGAAATTCTCCCAAAAGCCAAACTGATTTTGTTTGGTATTATTTTCAAACTTTTTGCTTTCATTTTTTTATAGAAACAAAAGTAATAAAAGAATCAAGAAACAACACCATTTTCATTTTTTCACAAAATAATTTTCAAAATTTGAAGAAACAATTTTAAAACAACACTTAGGGTGAGACTCATACTCTTTAATCTTGAGTCATTGACTCCTTACTCCTTGCTTCTATATCCTTAGTGGAATTGGAGTTTGACTATGTTTCAAGCTTGTATTGAGGAAGTACCTATAAATTCTCTGTGTACTACTTACTTAATGTTGCTTCTATAACCTTGATTTTGTTTGGTATTATGTTCCAAAATTTTTTATTTATGCCAAAAGATTTCATTTAGGCTATTTAGAATGAATGAATCCAATTTATTTTTCATTTCTTACACTTGACATCTCACCCGGCGTGCCAAAAATTGTTAGCTTATTTTTCTTACGAAGGAAAATATCATAAATGCGAACGTGCCAGTAAGGATTGAAAAATTGTTACAGATTAAATTCAAGCCAATTATCAAGCAATTGTGTTGACGGTTCTTTTGCCTCAATAAAGAGGACTTCAAAATTACCAAGTGCAGAAAAAAGAAAAATTAAAACAAGAAAGAGGGAGAAATAAAGATGATTGAGTGAACAATCGGGGTGATTAAGTAAATAACCAAAGTAACAATTACTTATCTCTACTCCTATACTTTGAAAAGGAAGTGCATAAAATGCTTCGAAAAGGACATGCTGAAAATAAATGTTTCGTAAAGAAAGTGCGTAAAATAAAATGCAGGAAATATAAATGATAAGAAAAATAGAAATCAATTGTCTTTGATTTGAGTTCTGCCACTAACAATGTAGCCATGAATAGCTATTTATAGGCAAACATTTGTAAGAAAAACTACCTAAAACTGCCCACTCTTCCATCTCTTCCATTTCATACTCCATGATCTTCCATAACTTCCTTCAATCTCTACTTCAAGCTTCATGTTTTCTACTTTGTTCTCCATCATCTTTCTATATTTCATAACTTCTCATAACCTCCAAATGAGTAGGAGGGTACCGCATGTCCTGTAATTATATAAATAATAAATTATAAATTTGTGGTGCCAACTCATTCTTAATTCAGTTAATAGCTTTTAAAGAGAAATAAATCATGAATAAAATTTTATATAAAATTTCTATTCGGAGTGATTTTTATTTTTATTTTAAAAAAAAGGCCCTTATCTCATTTTAGTTGAGTTTGTTTTGTTTTGTTTTTGTTTATTTATTTATTTTTTTGAGAAAAGTCAACAAGTGAAATGACAACCATCAAATGAAAGCTTTTAAAACCTAAGTTGACATTCTAAATTATGGGCAATGGGCACCCCATGAGGGTCATGATATAGGGTTGACTGACCCCTGCTGTGGGCTCACTTCCAAATCCTTAGGTGAGCCCTTCACTATTCTTTTATCATTTTGCCAAACCTTAGTAGCCAACAAGATCGAGCCCCTTCATGAGATTAATCTTATTGCTTCACAATACACTATAAACTAGATTCTATGTGAGTTAGATTATGTTGTTTGGGTATGTACGACTTATTATGGGTCTCACTTAGATAATTTGAATAGTTCATATTTTTAACTTTTAAAAAATTATTAATAAGTTCGTTCAAAACTTGTGAAAATCTCCCAAAAGTCAAATTGATCTTGTTTGGTATTATTTTCAAAATTTTTGCTTTCATTTTTAGCAACAAAAGTAATAAAAGAATCAAGAAACAACACCATTTTCATTTTTTTCACAAAATAATTTTCAAAAATTCAAGAAACAATTTTAAAACAACACTCAGGGCAAGACTCATACTCTTTAATCTTGAGTCATCGACTCCTTGCTCCTATAACCTTAGTGGAATTGGGGTTCGATTATGTTTCAAGCTTGTATTGAGGAAGTACCTATAAATTCTCTGTGTACTACATACTTCATGTTGTTGGGCCCTTTTAGGCATCTCATGTTTGGTCACCGACCAAGAGTTGTTACATACTAGTCACTTCGCTTGTTATTTTTATTTTTGTCTAAAATATATTTTTCATGATTTGTTTGGTTTTAGAAAAATTCTTTATATAAATGGATTATTCGCCTGATTTTTCTACGACTAAAGACAAAGGCATAGTTCCCTCGTGTATTTGTTAATATAAATCACACCACCTTTATGTCTAATGATAAAAGAAATCAGATAAAAAAATTCAATTACGTATAGCATTAGACTTTACAGTGTTCTTACACAACGTTCGTCCAATTAATATTGGTTATTTCTTCTCAATTAGGTCCCTCTAAGATTATTTTCATGTTGAAATTTCTTAGCTTTGGCAATCTGTTCTGTTGATTAATCTGTGTAGAGTTTCGATTTTCAGAAAGCAAATTGAAATATTTTCCCTTGTTGACATGGGTCAAGCCATCATGACAAGAACTCAAATGAGAAAGTCTGCTTAAAATGAGTGAGAGTGAAACAAATTTTCTTAGTTTCCAAACAGACTTGGGAAAAATTTCACAAATTTTATGATGGGATCCGGTAACATGCCTCTGCACTTGAGATTAAAAATTCGCACTCAATAAAATTATTATGAACAATTTGCAGTGCTTACAATGCAGTTGGCTCGCAGTCAGGCCTCAAGAACACATTCAATTTCAGCAAACAAATAGAATGAAAACATTAAAAACAAAAACAAAAACAAAAACAAAAACAAAAAAACTCTCACACTGAACACAACACTCCTAACAACCACAATCAGACTGAAAAAAAAAAAATTGTCAGAATTTTTTATTAGCTTGTATCAAACACCTTATTGCCCCTGATACTGTTTCAAGAAAGAACTTTCAGTACCTATTTCCATTAACCTGCATTGGCAAAAACTCAATGTTATAATGAAATTAAATGTATTTTTCATTCAATGGTTGCAGTTTTTATTTAAAATTTTACTCACATTGAATCCAACAAGAGATCTGCAGTAGTTAGTATTTGTGAGGACGGTACTGTTTGATCCACACTCACTGTCTTTAAGCGAAACACTCGACTTGTCAAGCTTGACAGACCATGGGTACTGAAAATTCTGAGCCACAGACCCCACATGTGAGGATGACCGTTGCATCTTCACAGCACGTGGCACGTTCCTCCCTTCTAGGGATGGCCTATTACGCCTACTTGGCTGCCTCTCAAATGAGTCAGGCCTTGACTTTGGCGCACTCTGTGACCGCACTTTTGCAATTGAAGATTTAGTATTTGCCATGTAATTTGGAAAGAACGAGTACTCGTATGTCAAGGACTCTGGATAGGGCTCGGGTTTGGAGGCTGCAGAGTAGTACTGTGGGCTGCTCTGTGCTGTACCGAAGCAATAGTCCTCAAAATGACCACTGTGAGCTCGCGGGCTCATGTCTGTCAGTGCTGATGGGGGTGGTGAAATTTCTCGGTGATCTGGTTTTGAGTAGACGCGATTTGGTGCAGAATGTGTGGAGAATCGATGCTGCTCTGTTTGCGCATGGCTTGAGTAGCTGTTTCGGCTCTTTGTACTTCCCTTTGATTCCCCAAGATCCATTTCCACAATCTTGATGTTCTCCTCCATACCCCTATCCATCTCCTACATGAAAAGTGACCATATCACAGATCAATGGTTAAAATTTTTCATCACTTCAGCAATTCCTCTCACACCATTTCACATCTAGACTAGCTATGGACACAAAAAAATGAACACGAAAATCACATGAATGGATAAGATTTTATGAGATTTGTTGGTGAGGCATGGTTCTGAAAAATCTTGTCTATCCATTTTGTTGTGTGAGGTGTCTTGCATTTTTACTGTACACTTCCGATTTACTTGTAGGAAGCTTTTTACAGAGGCAAAGGGTTGAGGCCATTAGGCTAATGCCCAGATCTGGAAGTTTTGGAGATATTTATTTTATTTTTGCATGGAGTTTCAATGTGAAAATGTGACAATATTGTGGAGTGACTAAGTCGAGAGATTACATTGTAATCTTTATTACATAGTGGATTTAATCTCCTCTCTCATTGGACGTAGTACTATGACTGAATCAGGTATATCTTGTGTTTGTTCGTTTGATTTATTTCTTTCTACTACTTTGTAATTGGAACTATTCGATTTCTGCATAATACATACATTTTGTGTTGGGTTTTTGTGACGGATTTTTATGTTCCTCAGACTTATTCTTTCACAATTTCTAACAATCCTCAAACTTTTATAAGGCTAGCATTTAAGAAAAGGAAAATCCTTATTGAATAAATAATTAATTCCAAAATTGTAGTACATATAACAACAATGTAAAGTAATTGAGTTGAGAGATTCAGAACTCTGTGATCATTATCAGGATAGTGGATTTGATCTCCTCTCTACGTTGACATAGTTGCATTGCCAATTCACGTATATCTAATTGTTTGTGTGTTTAATTTGTTTCTCTTTTACTGTTTTGTTATTGAAACTATTTGATTTTTACATAACACATACATTTTGTGTTGGGTTTTTGTGACCGATTTTTATGTTCCTCGACTAATTCTTTCATAATTTCTACCAATCCTCAATTTTCCAAAATGGAATTTACCTGAATCAAATAATTCCCATTTATGAGTTTTCAAGATCATTTGATTCTCATCTTGACTCCACACAAAGCAGGGCAGCAGAAAAGAATGAGAAAATGATACTTACATGGTAGGAGTGCCTGAACTTGTTGTCCTGAGTGGATTTTCTATGATTGAATTGCTGCCTCTGATTATCGGGCCTCGATTCTTCGACCATCCTGATCCTCTGAGCCCGAGCTCTAGCTTGAACTGTCACCAATGCCTGCATGCACCGGAGAGTCGTGGTTGCCTGTTTCCTCACCAGGTGACCCCTCACCAATGCCTGCAGCTTCACTAGTCCTTTCAATGCACAAAGTGCTTTCCTTGCCTAAAAAAACACCCCAATGACATTGTCAAGATAGTTAAGAATTAAACACTAACGAATCGACCAAATTTAGAATAAGGGTATTTTTAGTATTTTTAGTATCTCTATATTTTAATTGTGACATTTCATCATAGTGAAACTATATATTTTTAGTTGAATTATGTAAAAAAAATTATGTGCGCGTGATTTATAATTTTTATTTATTATTATTTTTATTTTCCTGTTTCATCAATCATCATTTAGTATTATGAATTTCTAACAAATATAGACATGAAATGTGAATATACGTACCAAATGAGACCGAAAAACAGATTGGATCTTTATGGCAGCAGCCTCTTCTATTAAACTGGCTCTCCCGGTGGCTGCGGCAGCGGAAGTTAGCCTGATCACAGCGGCAGCAGCAGCTTGTGCTGCCGCCACGGCAGCATCTGCGGCGGCTGCCGTGGCTGCAGCCACCGCCATCGCGTGCTTTTTCTGCTCAAATTGTGATTCCAACACCGCCGGAGGCGTGGTGGCAATGTTCTCCAACTCCTTCTGACCACCGCCCACGGTGGTGGCCGATGATCGCCGGAAACTCCACCGCCGCTTCTCTTTCGGAGTCATCGGCCGCGGAATCGAAATTGGAGTTGTGGGGTTCTCATTAGCATTCAAATTGAGTTGCTGATTGCTTGAATTCCTTTCTTTTTCTCTCTCTTTTTCCTTTTCTTTCTCTTTTTTTCCTGTCAAGAAATTTCTAATCCACTTGCTTGTCTTTCCCATCTCGATCACTCTTCACACAAAAAGAGAGAAATCAACAAAATGATATGTATATATGTCAGTAAATCTATCTATCTCTCAATGTATATATCATCATCAGTAGCTTTCAAACTCTAATGTCTGCATGATTGAATTGCTTATTATTTTGACAGATTGGTCTCACTCTTACAAACTGTTTCATTGTCACCTCTGTGCTGTATCTAACTAGTGGCAATTTTTTATTGGCTGAGGGATTGCAAGTAAAGAGCAAAAAGAAACTGATAGGAAGCTTTCTGGTACAAGATCAACGGAGAGTAGATTCTTTACCTCTTGTATAATTTTTTTCATTACCCATTTTGTCCTTTGTGGGACCCCAATTTTTGATGTGATAACCAAGGGTGTTTTGGGGATTTCATATTGGAGGTCATTGTTGGATCAGAAACCATGTGAGACTGAGACAAGAACACGTAGAATCCTTGTAAAATACTCATGCAGGGGTTTGTGGTCCCATGGGAGTTTGTCCTACTTGTTTGGTGATTGAGGGACTCACATATTTAGAAATAAATTATTTAATATTTTCGAAACATTAATTTAGAATTAAGAGACATGGTTTCTCGGATTGGTAAATGCAATAATTATGGAATGTGTGGTGCCAATTTCATTCATCTTGATTGGCAGGGTAAAAGATGAGGTCAGCTCCATAATCATATACACATAACATTGTGTACTTTAAAATTATCATTTTTTTGGTGTATATTTAGATTTTGTTTGCGAGTTAGATAAAAAGTTAAATTATTGCTCAAAACTATGCCTACTACAAAGTTAATGCCAAAAAAAATTAATTTATTTGACAATTTTTTTAATGATTTTTTAGAGTGAATAAAGCGATTTTTTTTTTCTTTTTACTTTTAACAAGAAATAAGTTGCTAAATGAGCTAAAGTTGTTTTTATGAAGCCTTAACTATGGTTTTTAGATTTCTAGTATTACTTTAGTTCCAAAAAAAATAAAAATAAAATATTCTGGTATTATTTTGAAATGAAAATTATTAAATATTACTGGGAGCATTACTCTATAATAATCACTAAAAATATTGTCTTTCCTCAAAACAGTGAAATCAAAAGTGAAGAATTAAACTAATCAAATTGGTGTATATAGCCTATGAGGAGGAATAATTTTAGGTACCATAAAAATTTATATGTAATTTATAAATTTAAAATTAATATGTTTTGAATTATATATAAAATAAATTTTATTTATATTTTAAATTTTAAATTAGAGGGGTTGTATCCTAGTGCTTTGCACGTGGTCAAATTAAACCCTACCAACTCTTGGACTCTTCTATCTATCTGTGTCCTTTGAGCCCAGAGCCCATAGGGTCATTCATGATCCCAAAGGGTAGTCTCACCCATTTCTTCTCTCCCTATAATTATTTCCCAATAATATTCTAAGAGAGAATTTGGGTCCACCTGCTTTTGTACCATTGTGCAAGAAGCAGACAAGGTTATGTGATGAAGGGAATTTGAGAGCTGTTGGCGGAACAGACAGGTAAATTAATGTCAATTGTACAAGTTCAATTCATGGCTTTTGTTTGGGATATATATCGCTGTCATTGCATGGTCCAATCCAATATAGTTGAAGGTATTGGTGCAAATGTTCTCCCGAATGACGATGTTGATGATGTCACTTTAAAGAAAAACTTGAAATAGATTTTGAGTCGCGTTACAAATGTTATTTTTATAAAGATAGCATTTACTCTTATTAGATGGTGTGCGGATTAATAGTAAATTCGCCTTCAAAATACATTGAAGGATCAGAATACACCTTCAAATTGATTGAAAAAAATATACTTTCAAATTAATTGAAAGTCAGAAAATCAAGGTTCGATATTCTATTTCGTGGCAGTGATGCGTACAGTGCTAAGTGCATTATCAAAAGTCACACAGTTCATTACCCACACCACGGGCGCATGTGCGGATGGTGTGTGGGCTTACGCTCTATGCACCTTTCTCACATTTTCTTATTCAAATGAATATTCTATATGGGTGTTTATTAAGTCATCTTTTTTTTCTCATCTTTTCAACATGGGACAAGCCACAAAGCTAAAAGAGCTTTCTTAAGAAAACAATGAAGGTTTTTGAAAACAATAAAAAGTAATCCATTTTATTTAGAAAATTCCCAACAAAAGGAAAATAAATAATGAAGGGGTAGAGACTTTAGAATAAAAGTATGAAGATATGCGATACAAGCTAAACTTGTCTAGCTTGACAAGCTTTTATTTGGCATGAGCCTATACTCCAGACAATCTAGCATAGTTTAAATGAGGCTTCTTGTTTGGAAACAAATTATTTGAATAACTTTTTGACTTTTTATAAAAAGATATGCAGAACAATAAAGAGCAATATTACAACTTGTAGTTATTTTTTAACTTTTTAATTAAAATGTATAATTGACAAACGAGACTCTAAGTTAGACCTAAGCTTAAAGTTCGAAACTCGACTTTGCTTATTGGTTTTGAAAGACAGCCCGTCAAGCCTTAAATTTCGGCCTATTGACACTTCAGAGTCAACCCATTATATAGTTTGTTGAGTGGGCTTACAAGTCTGTTTGGCCCAAGCCCGTTAAGAAAGGCCAAGCCCCTAAGCCCAAGTCCATCTAGGGGGTGTTTTGGAAGATTTATTTTTTTAGTAATTTTTTTTTACAATACACACACACATACATATATATATATATATATATATAAGTAAAGAGAATTAATTAATTTTTGTAGTAACTTTGATTATTTTATGAAGTTGCCAAATGAGACTTTAATTTATGCATCATTTTATTGTATGAAAGGTAATGGTATGATTTTAAACGGCTGTGATTGAGGCCTCGAAAATGAGGCTCGAAATTGCCTCGAATGCAATTTTTTTTTTTTTTTTTTTCTGGGCTAATACATTGCAAAAATAAATAAAAATAAATAATAATAATAATAACAAGCAAAGCATCAACCCAGCAAAAAAAAAAAAATCAAATTTGAGCCAAATTTGAGCCAAAAAAATTTGAGGCCTCAATCATTAATTGATTTTAAATTGTTTGATTTGCTTAATTGGAAGATCTAATGATTGTTTTATTTATTTTAAGTCCTCTCTCCTATGTAACCTTACTCTAAGAATATCCATTTCAGCCCCCAACAAATGTAAATTTTGATTAAATATAGCTAATAAATTATAAAATTCTCGCTCCATCAGCCTCAACAAATTATTTCTAAACTAGTTTTTGGTTAACCTTGCTACAGTACATCGCTGCATGTAGCGATATACTGTTCATAGATTATATAATATTTTATCATTTATTCTTAAAAGTGACTAGACATCCTGCTAGTCATCCAGCCGACATCCTGTCAGATGATCGGCTGCTGCACAATTTATTTATTTATTTTATTTTTTAATTTTTTTTAGGAATATAAGACTAACTACATAGATATATCTTATACACTTTGGATGTCCGGCCAGACAACCACTGCTGGGCATATATATATTTTTTTTGTATACATTTTGAATGTCCGGCCAGACAACCACTGCTGGGCATACATTTTTTTTTTTGAATATAAAACTGCATATATATAAAACAATACAAAATTAACTTCTCCTATACTACTTTGGCTACTTTTTAACAATACAAAATGAATATTTTATAAAATTGAATTTTAGAGTAAGTTTGATATAGTGTATACATACAAAAAATACTAACCAATATAAAAAAGTAATTTTTTAATTATAATTTAAATCAAAATTTATCGAGACTGATGTGAATGCTCTAAGATTGTGTTTGATTAAACGGACTGGATAAGGGGGAATTAGAATCTATCGGATTTAAATCTTGAGACTGTGAATCCCCCAGACTATTTGGTTGGATTGAATATGTATCCTATGTTTATTTTCTTATGGGATTAGATGTCTGAAAAAGACTATTTTTAGTTAATTCAATGTTTGGTTGGACGGACTGGATAAGGATAAATGTTCAAAACACTATTTTATCCTTATAATTTATAATTTATTTTTTTATTGAATATATAATTTTAAATTTGTAATCTATAATTTATAATTTAACAATACTAAAAAATTTTAGTTTATAAGGCCATAATTTATAATTTATATTTTTTTATTTAATATATAATTTTAAATTAACAACACTAAAAAAGAAGTCCATTCCGGACATTGAGGACGGGTATACCGATGGCCGTGACTTTGCCGGACTGGTTTAAGATGCCACATATTGACCGCTTTGACGAGTCTGGAGATCCTATGGTGCATCTACGGCTATTTTCAGATATACTAAGGCCGATGGGCCTCACCAGATTACAGAAGCTTTCTTTGTTCGGTAGGACCCTGTCGGTTGTAGCGGCCATTTGGTACGCAAAATTGGAAGATTCCATCAAGAGGAATTGGGAGGAGATGGCCGAGGCCTTCGTAGCTCAATACTCCTACAACACACAGATCGAGATCACAACTCGTGATCTTGAGACGACTAGACAGGAGCCGAAGGAGAGCTTTTCTGACTTCGTAACTCGCTGGAGGGCCAAGGCCTCGATGATGACCATTAGGCCAACTGACAAAGATCAAATATGGATGGTTGTGCGCAACCTCCAGCCCAAGCTCATGCAGAAGATGATCGTCCTCCCTCTCCCCACTTTTGTGGATCTACATGAGATTGGAGTGCAGATCAAGGACGCTCTAAAATAGGGTCTGATTGACAATGATAGAGAGCAGCCCAGGAGAACCTTCAACCGCAACACCAATACAGGCACGAGAAGTACTGCAACTGCCAGAGCCTCAGAAGTAAGCATGGTAACCACCACCCCCGCAAGAACCCTTACGGCTACACCAATCACCAGTGCGTCCGAAAGCAACTCACAAACAACCAAGTACCAACCTCGAGGCCAAAGAACCTTCACCCCATTATACATGCCCCTGTCCAAAGCTCTAGGGGTTTTGATCAAAAAAGGGCACTTGAAGCCCCTGGAGCCGTGGCCATTGCCAGAAACACTTCCTCCCTCCCATAACCCGGCCAAATATTGCGCCTTTCACCAGCAACATGGTCACGACACCGACCATTGCTTTAGATTGCGTCACGAGATTCAGGATCTCGTCGACAACAGGGTGATCGTGCCTCCGGAAAAACCGAACGTCACAACCAACCCTCTCCCACTACACAACCAAGCCCCACCTCCCAAACGCATCAACTCAATCCAAACTGGGGTCGTGTCATATAACCCTAGCATATATATCACCCCGTCTCACCTACCTAAGCCGGAGGTGTTCA